AGAAACCGTGTAAACTAATTTCGACCAATAGGAAAATTTCATTTTTTTCTAATTAAATTTAATCAATAAGGGTATTTCGGTCATTTACAATATTTTCAATTAAATATGGAAATTATTAATAAATCTTAATTAAGGAAACGTAATAAAGAAAATTTTATAAATGGTAACATTTAAATATTTAATTATATTATAATTTTAAAAATTTTAACTAAATATATTGTGATTCGATTGAATCTGCTGGTGAATCTTAAAGATTGTAAGACATAATGTAATGAATTCATCAAATCATGATTGAAAAAAGAAATTAATACAAATGAAACAGGTTTCATGAAAGTGAAACTGATTCATGTCATAATTGAACAATGAGTAGTGAAACATTTTCATGGTGAACTTGTTTCATTGATGGTGTAGTTGATCAATTTAGTAGGTGAAGTGAAAAATGAAACGGGTGCATAATGTATTTGGTTCGTCATGAAATAATTGCATGATGAAACGGGTACATGATGAATCTGTTACAAAATCTTGAAGATTGTAAGGCTTAAATGAATGAATTCATCAAATCACGGGTGAAATAAGAAAATTAATGTACATGAAATAGGTTTCATGAAGGTGAAACTAGTATGGCGTAATTGAACCAAGAGTAGTGAAACAGGTGCATAATGTATTTGGTTCGTCATGAAATAATTGCATGATGAAACGGGTACATGATGAATCTGTTCAATAATCTTGAATATTGTAATTTGCTACAGAATCTTTAAGATTGTAAGGATTAAAGAAATGAATTCATCAAATTAGGAGCAAAATAAACTAATCTATGTACATGAAACAAGTTTCATGAAGGTGAAACTAGTTCATAGCATAATTGAACAATGAGTAGTGAACTAGTTTGATGATGAACCCCGTTTCAATGATGATGTAGTTGATCCATTTAGTAGGTGAAATGCAAAATAAAACGGGTGCATAATGTGTGCGGTTTGTCATGAAATAATTACATGCTGAAATGGATTCATGATGAAATCGGTGCGTCTTGAAATAATTTCATAATGAATATGGTGCATATTTACATGGGTGTGTGAAGGACATTGAAACAATTTCAGGATAAGGAATAAAAAGGCTGATGCATTAGCGAAATTATTTTCTAACAAATAGAAATTTTTAATTTCCTAAAATAAAGAATAATGTCCTTCAATAGGATGTTATAGAATATGTATTTTTGTTTACCATTTTGCACTTATTGATGATATAAAAATAAAATTTTAATATATTTTTCTTTTAATTTCCTAAAATAAAGTAAACAAACCTTGACCATTGATCAAGAAAATGGATGGATGAGATTGGTTTACACGGTTTACACAAATAGAGGCGGTTTTCATTTAAACGCTCATATATATATATATATATATATATATATATATATATATTGTTGGTCTTGTGAGGGTCTACAAGAAGAGAAACAGTTTGTAGAAGAGGGGATGAATACAAACACAATATTTTCAAATTTAAAATATATATTGATGAAAAAGATCAATACAGGTTTTACAAGATTGTTTGCGGAAAGAT